CTGCCTCTCACATTAGAGTTTGGCATTTCTGTGCTAAAGTGCAACACCTTTTAAATTTTAGGATAAGGGGAACAGAAAGGAGAAGGGAAATTGGACATAAAGGCAGGGATGAATAGAATAGAATAGAGAATATAAGAGTAGAGTAAAATACTCTATAGTAGAATAGAATAGAATAGAATAGTAGAGTAGAGTAGAATAGAAGAGTAAAACACTCTATAGTAGAATAGAATAGAATAGAATAGAATAGAGAATATGAGTAGAGTAAAATACTCTATAGTAGAATAGAATAGAATAGAAGAGTAAAACACTCTATAGTAGAATAGAATAGAATAGAGAATATAAGAGTAGAGTAAAATACTCTATAGTAGAATAGAATAGAATAGTAGAGTAGAGTAGAATAGAATAGAAGAGTAAAACACTATAGTAGAATAGAATAAAATAGTAGAGTAGAGTAGAGTAGAGTAGAGTAGAATAGAAGAGTAAAACACTCTATAGTAGAATAGAATAGAATAGAATAGAATAGAATAGAATAGAATAGCTTTATTGATTGGACACACAACGAATTTGTCTCTGGTGCAGAAGAGGAAGCACTTTCGGCTACCATGTTGAAGCTGTGCAAAATTCTTAACAGTCAGAAAGCTTAACGGTAGAGATCTTATCTCCCCCATTACTGTTTTCTTCTACTAAATTGTTTACATAACCATATTATTTTTGGTAAGCGCTGCAGGGACAGTTTCACGTGGATTTTGCTGGGGTTTTTTTCCCTCCCCTCCCCTTCTCCTGAACATGGTCCACAGCAAGCCATCTGGTACCCTAGGATAAGTGCGAGGCTCCACTGTTCACTGAATCAAAACCTGGTTAATCTTCACAAAGTGCACAAAGACACACCATCCACCCCAGGCGGCGTGAGTGGGGTTCAAGATTTTAAAAAATGGTTTTCCTAATCTCCAAAGTATCTATGAAAGTGTAGCGAAGAAGCCTCCCTAGCAGAGAGCCTGGTAGCTTAATATTTGGAAGTATGAACTTTTATTCCCGTTAACTTTGGCTCCCACTTTGCTCCATCCTCTTTCAGTTTTCCTTAGCTAGTTACCGAATCCACCCATTTTGTACGTTTCCACAAGACGGTGAACCCCTAGGCTTGCACAACGCAGGAAGCCACAGAAAACCAAGGTTAAACACGAACCCATTCGAGCACAGGCAAAGGGTAACAGAATAACAAAGAGTTTTAAAAGGGACCTTGGAGGTCTTCTAGTCCAACCCCCTGCGGAAGCAGGAAACCCTAGCATTTCAGACAAAGTGGCTGTCCACTCTCTTCTTGAAAAGCTCCTGTGATGGAGCATCCACAACTTCTGGAGGCAGGTTGTTCCATTGGTTAATTGTTCTCACTGTCAGGAAATTTCTCCTTAGTTCTAGGTTGCTTCTCTCCTGGATTAGTTTCCATCCCTTGTTTTTTGTCCTGCTCATAGACTATATTTAGACATATAGAGCCAGAAGGGACCCCAGAGGTCTTCTAGTCCAACCCCCTGCTCAAGGCGCCAGCCTTATATCCTGCCAGTTAAATCATTGACCAGTCTATTCCTGAAAACCTCGAGTGACGGAACGCCCACAACTCCGGGAGGCAAAATATTCCATTGTTCTCACTGTCAGAAAATTTCTCCTTACTTCTAGGCTGGATCCCTCTTTACGTAACTCTTGTAAGCAGAATGACACCCCTTGAAATAAAAGTCTGTGGAGATTCTCAGCCATCCAGCCCAGAGTTGTCCCAAAGGTGCTTTTTCAGGCAGCAACTGGATTTCCTTTTTTTTCTTTGAAGGCATTTTGCTTCTCCTCCAAGAAGCTTCTTCAGCTTCTCCCCCACCGTCCAGCTTTTTGGAGGAGAAGCCAAAAGCCTTCAGAGAAAAACAAGAAAGTCCAGTTGCCTCCTGAAAAAAAAAAAAAAACCCACCTTTGGGACCTTGGAATAAAAGCCCCTTCCCCTCTCTCCCCCCTTGGAAGAAGAAATAAAATCTTAAAAAACTCTTACAAGGAGAGGCGGATCAGCTGAGCAGCGGCCCCAGCGTTCCCAACCGTTGCTTAGCGAGACGAACCCAACAAGACGTCTCAGCAGGCGATGGCTTTTCCCCCCTCCTTCAAGGTAACCCAGAGCAACAGGCGGTTCAAATCCAGCCTGGGCAAAACAGACCGGGCACAGCACGTTCCTCGCCCTCATGAAGGCGGCGGAAACCAGCGCTTCTTTATTTTAGCTGGAGGGCATCTATTGATATAAATCGGCGCGCCAGGAAGGGTAGGAAGCAAAGAAGGCGCGACTGGGGAACGGAAAGAGGCTCCGGTGTGTGTGGGTGTGTGTGTGTGTGTGTGTGTAAAAGCGGGCACAAAGGGTTTCATTTCGGGGAAAATCACAGAATCAAACGGGGCGGGTGGAGAAAGAGCGTCCCAACTGGTGATTTTTTTTTAAAAAAAAGCCACGTTTCCACTCCCTTTTCTTTCCTTTTGCACAAAAATGCGCACTAAAATGCGCTCCCCAAGGATGCAGTTTCTGGAAAGAGCGCGCACCAGCCAGAAAAAAAAAAAGGGGGTGGTCGCCAGCCCCTTGTTTAAAAGCAACCCACCCACCCTCCTTCCAGGACTGCAATGCCCACCCCGCCCAGGTCTTTCCTGCAAAGCCCACAACGTCTGCAAGCAGCCAGAGGAGAAGAACAGAGACGGACCACCGGAGGGGAAACCCCCCACCCCACCCCCAGCCCCAAATAGTTACCGAGGAAACGAAGTTGGTTCTCCTTCTTTTAAGTTCTTCTCTTTGAGTTGCAGCCTGCGAAGTTTCGGACAGGGCGGAGGGAAGCAACATTTCCTGGAGTTGTAAAAATTGGCGGCTACCAGTGTCGAAACGCATCTGGAGGAGGGGGAGGGTGGGGGGGGTGGGAGGAGCCAGCTGTGCAGAGCTGCAAATGACAAGGCTATCCTCCAATGAGGGAGGCGGGCTGCGGGGGGGGAGGGTCATTAACATAAGGAGATCCTTTTTTTTTTTTTTTAATATGTGAAAATTTCATGAAGTTTATTAATATGATTGACTCTTAAACTTGACACAGTGAAGTAGGCCAGAGATATTTTATGAATGGATGTAAAAATATTGTTTCTTTATCGTCAGAAAAAATAGATTTTTAAGAAGGCTATAAATGTATGAAATAACAGTAAGCCCAAACATAAGGAGTGGCACAAACATAAGGCACAAACAGTGGCACAAACATAAGGAGATCCTTGAATGGAAGTCAAAGCCTCTTCCTAACTTTTGGGTCCTTTGGAGTGTGTGTGTGTGTGATATTTGCCTGCACGGGCCAATAGGGGAAATTGGGGTGGGTGGGGGGTCGGATCCCCCTGAAAAGGGGGGCATTTCCCCAAACCCGGTTGTCTTTGGCGCCGCCGGTGGCAACTGCCAAGGGGAGTGGGCTTGCGACCCTCACCAGCCAAGAATAAAAAAGCGATGCGTGCATTAATAGAAAGACGAATTAGAAAGGAACGTGATGTGTAATTTTGAATATACATATTAGCAAGATTGAGTGATTAATTAACATATTGTTTATGATAGTTAACTATTTTCTATTATTGTTTGTTAAATACATGAACCCAGACATTATGCGGTTTGCTAAATATTGAGAATGTTACTTGGGAAAACCCCAACCCTAACCTTAATCCCAACCCCAACCCCGACCCCACCTTATTCCTAACCCCATTAAAAACTAATAAAATCTATCTCTCTATATAAAAAATACGGCTTGTATGCTTTACAAGAGCGGGAAGCTCTTGCCTCCATCCCTGCTCAAATCCACCAGAAAAGAAACACCTATTTTAACGCAACTTAAACCTGGCAGCGAAGAAAGTCCTCGACTTACAATGCTTCATTTAGTGACCGTTCAAAGTTACGACGGCACCGAAAACAGCGACCTAGGAGTGTTTTTCACACTTGCAATCGTTGCAGCTTCCCCAGGGTCCCATGATCAACATTTGGATACGGGGCAACCGACTCGTATTTACGACGGTCGCAACGTCCCTGGATCACGTGATCCCCGTTTTGCGACCTCTCGTCCAGGGGGGAAGCCAAATTCGCCGAACGACCATATTTATGAACTTGTCCACTGCAGTGATTCCCTTAACAACTGTGGCAAGGAAGGTCATAAAAGGGGGCAAAATTCACCGATCCACGGCTTCATTTCACCACCAACCTATCTGGAGTTCCATTTTCGGTTCCTAAGGGAGTTTTGCCCCTGTTTGTGATGACAAACGGGTGGAACGAAATAACACCCACTGTTCTTTTCTTTTCTTTTTTTTCTAACACGTTTATTGAAAAATTAAACCGGAGTCTCTCTTTTATGTACACAGAGTGAAATCGTGAAGGGTTTCCCCCGTTATTGGCTAGGGACCGATGACAAGGCGGGATCCGGGGAATGTCACTTCAAGAGGCGCCCGTCACAAGGATGAAATCCCGAAACCGTCAGAATCGGTGTCCCCGGATGGTCCTACTTCCCTCTCTTGGTGCCTGCATCTTCTCCTGCCCAAAATCTCTGGGACCTGCCACGATGGTAAAAATGTTCCCGTAAGATACAAGGGGGAGATGGTAGGAAGAGCTACGAGAGAAAGCAGGTGTCGTTTCCATACAGGTGTCTTGCCAGGTTATTCGAACACAGAGGCAAAAGGGAAGAGACAGGTGAACTAAATGGTGTTTTATGAATCTGTTAAGGTTGATCGCTGGGAAGAAGGACGATGGGCTTCCATGTTCAAGGTCTGTCAAGATTGGGGAGCCGTTAGAAGTGGGGGGGGCACTTAGCCGAGAGAAATTATATCCCAATCTGACGTCTGCTCGGTGGGGAATCCTGTCTGGGCTCTACCTGGGTGTACAGGTGTGCACACGACTGGATGCCTCAGACACCTTGTCACCCCGTTCTTTCCTCCCGTCTCTTGGGCGTTTGGCTTCGGGCTCTTCCAGACGGCCCTTCTCCCCCCCCTCCCTAAAGTGCAACGTTGAATTCTGTGACGAGGAAATCGACGTAATCCTTCTCTTTCGCCTTGAAAGCCTCGGCGATGATGCGGGCGGTTTCGCGGTGCTCCCTCCCGCGGAGGGCCGTGCCGTTGACTTCCAGGATGACTTGGCCCACCTTCAGCTGGCCGCAGTTGTGAGCCGATCCGCCTTTCTGTGGCATGGAAGGAAAGACAGGAAAGAAAAAGGGAAGGAAAGGAAAGGAAAGGAAGGAAGTTAGGAAGAAAAGAGAAAGAGAGAAAGAAAAAGAAAGGAAAGATAGAGAGGAAGGAAGGAAGGGAGAGAGGAAGGAAGGAAGGGAGAGAGAGAGGAAGGAAGGAAGGAAAGGGAGAGAGAAAGAAAAAGAAAGAGAGAAAGTAAAGCAAGATAGAGATGGATGGAAGGAAGGAAGGAAAGGAGAGAGGAAGGAAAGAAGAAAGGAAGGAAGGAAAGAAAGAGGGAGAGAGAAAGAAAAAGAAAGAAAGGCAAGATAGAGAGAAGGAAGGAAGGAAAGGGAGAGAGAAAGAAAAAGGAAGAAAGTAAAGCAAGATAGAGAGATAGATGGAAGGAAGGAAGGAAAGGAGAGAGGAAGGAAAGAAGAAAGGAAGGAAGGAAAGAAAGGGAGAGAAAAAGAAAAAGAAAGAAAGGCAAGATAGAGAGAAGGAAGGAAGGAAGGAAGGAAAGGGAGAGAGAAAGAAAAAGAAAGAAAGTAAAGCAAGATAGAGAGATGGATGGATGGAAGGAAGGGAGGAAGGAAAGAAGAAAGAAAGGAAGGAAAGAAAGAAAGAGGGAGAGAGAAAGAAAAAGAAAGAAAAAAAGGCAAGATAGAGAGAAAGAAGGAAGGAAAGAAAGAAAGAAAGAAAGAAAGAAAGAAAGAAAGAAAGAAAGAAAGAAAGAAAGAACAATTTAATCGTTTTGTGGGAGTTGAGGGGAAGAGCTTATCACAAAGGTCCTTCTTTTTCTCCAAGGTCAGGGCTGGGCTGAGAGCAAAGCTATGGGAAAAACCTCTCCAGCATTTTGCCGACACTTCTTACAAAACAGAACTGACCTGGATGTTCTTTCAGAGGACAAGGAAGCCCCACTTCCTCAAGGAGGACCCTCTGAATTCATACCTGGATGGTGACAATCCTGGGCAGGGGCTGTCGAGTGTTTGCCCCCCCTTGAATGGCTATGCCCAAGGTCGGAGCGCTCTTAGGCACCCGGATGAGATGTGACGTTGGCTCCAGGAGTCCTGGCTGCAGGGAGACAAGAGAGGAGAAGAACATCGGTGGAGAAGGAGGACCAAAGCTGGCACGGGAAGGGACGGGAAGGACTCGTCTCCAAACTTTTACTAAAGTCCCAAATCTCGCGGGCTAATCAATCCCGGAGCAATCCTGACTTGGGCGCAATCAAACCGGTGTTGCAAAATGTTAGGGTACGGGATGTGTGTGTGCGTGTGTATTAAGGAAGGAAGTTAGGAAGAAAGGAGAAAGAGAGAAAGAAAAAGAAAGGAAAGATAAAGATAGAGAGGAAGGAAGGAAGGAAGGAAGGAAGGAAAGAAGGGAGAGAGGAAGGAAGGAAGGAAGAGGAAGGAAGGAAGGAAGGAAGGAAGGAAGGAAGGAAGGAAAAGGAAGGAAGGAAGGAAGGAAGGGAAGGGAGAGAGAAAGAAAAAGAAAGAGAAAGTAAGGCAAGATAGAGAGATGGGTGGAAGGAAGGTTTCATTTTTTTTGCTTCTGGGCGAAGCGTAGGGGCCAAATGGACGGTGCCCCTACAATTACGAGAAGTCCTCGATTTACGACTACCGAGTCAGAGAGGAAGTCGTTCTGCAGGGAGCAGAACTTGCAAATTGCAAGGGAGGAAAGAAAGAAAGAAAGAAAGAAAGAAAGAGAGAGAGAGAGAGAGAGAGAGAGAGAGAGAGAGAGAGAGAGAGAAAGAAAGAAAGAAAGAAAGAAAGAAAGAAAGAAAGAAAGAAAGAAAGAAAGAAAGAAAGAAAGAAAAAAACTTACATTGAAAGAAATCAGAATTCTCCACTGTTGGCCCGACTTTATAAGACAGACGTTTCTCTACTTACGACCACAAGGGAGCCCAACATTGCTGTTGTTAAGTGAGACATTTGTTAAGTGTGTTTTGTCCCGCTTTATGACTGTTCTTGCCCCAGTTGTTAAGTGAAACTGACTTCCCCATTGATTTTGCGTGCAAAAGGGGATCGCCTGACCTCGGGACACGGTGACGGTCGTAAGTGTGAGTCAGTTGCCAAGCCTCCGAATTTTGATCACACGATCATGGGGATGCTAGGAAGATTGAAAGGGTGGGAAACGGTCCCTTTTTTTCAGCGTCGTCGTAATTTGAAACGGTCACTAAATGACCTGGAGTAAGTCGAGGACTTCCCGTAAGGCAGGATGTGATCTAGGAATAAAAGCAATTATTTCTCTTGCCAGCTTGGGGCAAACTAGAGGGAGAAAAGAGGGCTAAATTAACTGCCTGGATGGGATTCATTTTTTTTCTATGCTGAGAAATGAAGAAATGTGATTTGTTTTCGAATGTGGAAAAGGCAATGCTGCCCTCTAGTGGACAAAAGTTGACGTGGCCACCTTTATTTTCTGCCAAGTTCAACGCCGGCCGTTGTTAGTCGGCACAAATTACTCTATTACAAAGTATAGTTCCTAGGAAATCAGAAGGAGGTGTTTCGTGTTGAGTTTTCATCCCGTCTCCTTGCCTAAGAGGGAGTCTGGGCTGGTTGGTCAGCGTACCAGACTAGAAACGGAGGAGTCCTGAGTTCTAATCTTGCCTTAGGCAGGAAACCGACGGAGTGACCTTTGGCCAGCCTTTCTCTCTCCACCCTAGAAAGAAAACAAGGGCAAAAGACTTGAAAATCTGCCCAAAACACTACAGGGAGTCCTCAAAGGCGATGCTTGGCTTTATAACGTTAAGAGCGCAAAGCTAAGTGGGGTTAGCTCTGATTTACAGGTTATCCTCGACTTACAATCATCCCGTTAGTGACCGTTCAAAATTCCAACGGCGCTGAGAAAAAGCGACTTATGGATTTTTCATCCTTATGACTTTTGCAGCATTCCTGTGGGTCACGTGATCAAAATTCTGACGCTTGGCCACTGACTTGTATTCATGACGGTTTGCCATGTCCCGGGGTCACGTAATCCCTTTTTTTGGGTGACCTTCTGACAAGCAAAGTCAATGGGGAAGCCGGCTTCCCTTAACCCACGTGCGATTAACTTAACAACTGCAGCGATTCGGTTAACAACGGTGGCCAGAAAGGTCCTCGATGGGGCCAAAAACTCACCTAACGGCTGTCTGGCTCAGCGAGGCAAATTTTGGGGTCAGCTGTGGTCATAAGTTGAGGACTACCTGTATTACATCAGTGGGCATGAGCAGGAAATCACAGCCAATCACTTTCCTATTATTATAGAAGAGAGCTGGAAGGGACCTTGGAGGTCTTCTAGTCCAGCCCCCTGCTCAAGCAGGAGAACCTATACCATTTCAGACAAGTGGCTGTCCAGTCTCTTCTTAAAAACATCCCGTGTTGGAGCATTCACAGCTTCTGGAGGCAGGTGGTTCCACTGGCTAATTGTCCTCACTGTTAGAAAGTTTCTCCTTAATTCCAGGTTGCTTCTCTCTTTGATCAGTTTCCAACCGTTGTTTCTCATCCTTCCTTCTGGTGCTCTGGTGAATAATTTGACCCCCTCTTCTTTGTGGCAGCCCCTCAAATACCGGAAGACCGCTATCCTGTCTCCCCTATTTCTTCTTTTCTTTAGACTAGCCAAACCCAAGTCCTGCAGCCGTTCTTCATATGTTTTGGTCTCCAGGCCTTGGATCATCTTAGTTGCTCTTCTCTGAACTTTTGGGTTAGGGGTTGAGCTTGATTTGAAGTTGTGACTTTAAATGTGGTGGTGGGGTGGGTGGGTAAGGAACTGGGGCCAGGCTCTAGATAACACACACACACACACACACCATCTTTGCCTGTTGCTAATGCTCATGCCCGAGGGATGCCTTACCGGTTTGGCTCCTGTCTCCACTGCTCCACCCACTCTGGGGACTTCCTGCGGGCTTCGCGTCGGCAGGCCCCGGAACCGTTGGCTCCTCTCTCTGCTGGTGTTGAGTTCCGCTTCTCCCAGGTCGACGCCGCTGTCTTCGCTCAGGGTCTGCCCGCTGTCCGAGAGCTGGGAGAGCGTGGAGGCTGGGATGGGAAACAACGGCGAGAGACAAGCTGTTAGGGAAGCAGCAGAGCAGAGAAAGGAAGTGGGGGGGGGGCTGAGAAGAGAACCACAGAGCTGGATGGGACCATGCAGGTCTTCTAGTCTATGCGTAAATATTTGGATGAAAATATGTACCAGCTGCATTCACTACTGTTATATGAGCCGAAAGGCACCAAGGGGGAAGCTCACTTCCCTTTGGAATATATTGTCAAGCGCAAGGACGTCTGTGCCCACTTCATTGATTGTGCATTATTTATGTTAGATTTGAAAAGAAGAGAAGAGAAGAGAAGAGAAGAGAAGAGAAGAGAAGAGAAGAGAAGAGAAGAGAAAGGGAGGGAGGGAGGGAGGGAGGGAAGGAAGGAAGGAAGGAAGGAAGGAAGGAAGGAAGGAAGGAAGGAAGGAAGGAAGGAGGGGAGGGAGGGGNTAGACTAGCCAAACCCAAGTCCTGCAGCCGTTCTTCATATGTTTTGGTCTCCAGGCCTTGGATCATCTTAGTTGCTCTTCTCTGAACTTTTGGGTTAGGGGTTGAGCTTGATTTGAAGTTGTGACTTTAAATGTGGTGGTGGGGTGGGTGGGTAAGGAACTGGGGCCAGGCTCTAGATAACACACACACACACACACACACACACACACACACACACACACACACACACACACCATCTTTGCCTGTTGCTAATGCTCATGCCCGAGGGATGCCTTACCGGTTTGGCTCCTGTCTCCACTGCTCCACCCACTCTGGGGACTTCCTGCGGGCTTCGCGTCGGCAGGCCCCGGAACCGCTGGCTCCTCTCTCTGCTGGTACCGAGTTCCGCTTCTCCCAGGTCGACGCCGCTGTCTTCGCTCAGGGTCTGCCCGCTGTCCGAGAGCTGGGAGAGCGTGGAGGCTGGGATGGGAAACAATGGCGAGAGACAAGCTGTTAGGGAAGCAGCAGAGCAGAGAAAGGAAGTGGTGGGGAGGGGGGAGGCTGAGAAGAGAACCACAGAGCTGGATGGGACCATGCAGGTCTTCTAGTCTATGCGTAAATATTTGGATGAAAATATGTACCAGCTGCATTCACTACTGTTATATGAGCCGAAAGGCACCGAGGGGGAAGCGCAAGGATGTCCGTGCCCACTTCATTGATTGTGCATTATTTATGTTAGATTTGAAAAGAAGAGAAGAGAAGAGAAGAGAAGAGAAGAGAAGAGAAGAGAAGAGAAGAGAAGAGAAAGGGAGGGAGGGAGGGAGGGAGGGAGGGAAGGAAGGGAAGGAGGAAGGAAGGAAGGGTGGGTCAGGGAAGGAAGGAAGGAAAGAAGGAAGGAAAAGAAAGGGAGGGAGGGAGGAAGGATGGGTCAGGGAGGGAAGGAAGGAAGGAAGGAAGGAAGGAAAAGAAAGGGAGGAAGGAAGGATGGGTCAGGGAAAAGGAAGGAAGGCAGGAAGGAAGGAAGGAAGGAAGGAAAGAAAAAAGAATGTCAAAGAAATGAAGAGGTCACCTCTGGTCTGAGGCAATGGCTTAACTTCATTCACATCTGGTTCGCTATTCGGCCGATGAACTTCAACCATGATAAACTGCTGGGTGTTCCCCACTTCAAATCCGCCCTTCTCGCTGGGAGGGGAAGCAGCTGGGTGAGAGGGGAGGGGTGGCGGGGTAGGGGAGCTTGGGACTGGGCCTGCCGTCTCCGGGGAGGGCTGTCTCAACCGCGTGGGCGACTGGATCCGAGGGAACGGTAGCATCGGGTGCTGGTTGATCAGCAACAATCGGGCCTCCATGGGCTTCCTAGACGCGCGAGTCGCTGGAGAGATGGAGGCGTAGATGGAGCTGGCGGCCGAGTCCTCCATGGAAGAGCCGGTGGTGGAGCTGGAGGCAAGGCTGTAGGTGTCCTTCTCAGAGAGGCTGGAAGATGGCCTGGGGCCTTGAGGAGCCCTGAAGAACAGTCCTGACTGGGAGGATTCAGAAGATCCCAAACCAGGTTTGTGCGCTTTGTCTGAAGAGTCCGCCCGGGACTGAGAGGAGGCAGCAGGAGGTGAGGGTCTAAAAGCTGGAAGTTCTTCACAGAATGAGGAGACATCATCCTAAACAGGAAGGAACGGATGAAAGAACATTCAGACATGGCTAGAAGAGCAGGAGAGGGCCATCTTTCCATGGTGAGGGAGACATCAGGGGTTGAGATTCCAACTGAAGGAAGGACCCTGCCAGAAACAAGTGTGGGTTTAGTTGAATATGAACTACTTAGATGGATGCAGGTCATACAATTGCACTACATATTTAATCTCCAGTCAATGAGTAACTAGTTCAGTGACCCACTGTGAATTTAGACATAGCATAAAGAATCCCTGGCACTGGTGACGTTACCTGGTTTACTAATGAAAGGTCTACAAGAAAACCAGCAAGCTCAGAGAACACCAAGGACCCCACAGTCCTCCTCCTCCTCCTCCTCCTCCTCCTCTTCCTTCTCCCCACAAATCTTGTTTTTTTTTAGCACTGATGATGCTACCTAGTTAGGTAATGAAACATCTGCAAGAAAACCACCCAGCTTAAAGAGCACCAAGGACCCCACAGTCCTCCTCCTCTTCCTCCTCCTCTCCACCCATTACTTTCTAGCACTGAAGATGTTACCTAGTTTGGTTAATGAAACGTCTGCAAGAAAACCCCCAAGCTCAGAGAGCACCAAGGACACCACAGGTCGACCCTGAGCAACAAATATTCTCTTCTCTCAGTTAAAAAATCTGTTGTCTCAGCGGGATACTACAATTAATCTTGGGACATCAATATCCTAAGCTGGGCTTCCTTGGGCAGTAACTCTGCTGCTTTAAGGAGCTGCAGAGACTCTGGTGGCATAAATGGGATGTAAGAGAAGGTCATCTACTCTCTGCCCCCCTCACCCTTACCTCCACCTCCTTTAGCAGAACAAAATGGTGGGATGGATGCTGGGTGCTCACGTGAAGAAAGAAAGGCAACAATTTCATACATCAACACATCCTAGAACCATTGAAGTTGGAGAAAAACCAGGAGAAGACCCTCTTGAGATGGTCTCTTACCAGGGAGATGTCAGGTAAGGCATTGATCCTGCTTTGGCTTCCACTTCTACCCCCATTGGAAGAATTCTGGCAACCAGGGAATAAACAAGAAATGTGATATTACGGAGGGATCCAATCACAACGTATTTTGGTATGCAAATTTCTTCTCCATTCAGCCATTCAGGATCACTCTGTCTCTCTCTAATGAAAAAGTTGGAGTAATCAACTTTGGAAATTGGACCTCACCTTGTATTCTGGCTGGTATCAGGAGCAGTAGGCATTGGAAGTAGAGACTGTCAGGGGGTTAAATAAAAGGCCCATGTCATCATTCTTCTAAGGCTAAATATGGTGACTTTTTATAGATTGGGAAGCTTAAGAAAGCAGGAAAACTGCATACAAAGGTCACACAAAGCAACCAGCAATATTTCTTTCTTTCTTTCTTTCTTTCTTTCTTTCTTTCTTTCTTTCTTTCTTTCTTTCTTTCTTTCTTTCTATCTTTCTTTCTATCTATCTATCTATCTATCTATCTATCTATCTATCTATCTATCTATCTATCTATCTATCATCTATCTATCCATCTACAGTATCTATCTGTCTGTCTGTCCGCCCATCTGTCTGTTTGTCTGTCTGTCTATCATTTATCTATCATCCATCATTTATCATCTATCTATGCTCCATCCCTGTCTATCCATCCATCTGTTATCTATCTATATTATCTCTATTCTCTCTCTCTCCCCCAATCCATCTCTCTCTCATCTATTCTCTTTCTCTCAATCCATCTCTCTCTCATCTATCTATTCTCTTCCTCATCTTCTCTCTCTCTCTCTCTCTCTCTCTCTCTCTCTCTCTCTCTCTCTCTCTCTCTCTCTCTCTCTCTCTCTCTCTCTCATTTCTCTGTCGCTTTGGCCATTTCATAATTATGGCAATTGCAAAACCTCTACTCCTCACCCATCTCATCTTTCCTTCTTCTTTCAAAGTCATTTCCTATAACTCAAAATCTCCTTGCCTGGCTTCGCCTAAATCACGACCAACCTCTCTACTTGATACACAAGAGGGCAGTCAATCCCAGGTTTCATAAAAAATCCGAGAAACCTCTGGAAGAATTGGAAAGAAAGAAAGAAAGAAAGAGAGAGAGAGAGAGAGAGAGAGAGAGAGAGAGAGAGAGAGAGAGAGAGAGAGAAGAAGAAGAAGAAGAAGAAGAAGAAGAAGAAGAGGAAGAGGAAGAAGAGGAAGAGGAAGAGGAAGAGGAAGAGGAAGAGGAAGAGGAAGAAAGAAAGAAAGAAAAAGAAAGAAAGAAAGAAAGAAAGAAAGAAAGAAAAAGAAAGAAAGAAAAAGAAAGAACATCCTGTCTCTTCTCCCCCCCCCCCCATCGTGGCTTATTCAATTTGGAAAGCAGTGAACATCCGTGATCAGCCTGAGCCATTTTCAATTAGTACAAAGCACAATTAAACTCCCGCTAATAAAACATGACAGCGATTGGAGAAATCCTTAAGAGGAAGGTGACAGGAACCAGGCTGGGCTGATGGGTTCCTGTTTGACAAGACTTGAAGCGCAAGAAGCAAAACGGAAAATTATTTTTTAGGCAATGATCAACCACCAGCAGCAAAACGTGCTGAGGGTAAAACAGGGCTGTTAGCCCCAGGAGAATCTACACCGTAAGGAAAACAAAACACCGCAGGAAAACATTTGCCTGAAATTGTCAAAACCTGCGGGAATCTGTTCAATTTTTTTTCTACCTCTTCCTTTTTTTAAAAAGGAAAATAAATAAAAAATGAAGTTGCAGATTATCGGGACAGATTAAAATGCGTACGAATGCCCTCAGGCGGCGCGTTTCTCCAAACTCAGCAGTCAGTGAATGAAATTTCACTGAAAAATTAAACAAAATTAAAAATTAAACAGCCTTTTAAAGGCAGTGCGTTTCAAGGAGACAGGAAAGTCGCATTCATAATTTAAAGTCGGCTTCCCTAAATGTTTTAAATTATGTCTCTCGTCCTTAAGAGCCCAACGGCCCAACTCACCACCCTACTTCCACTTGGTATGGATCGATCGATTGAGATTATGTGCCGTGAAATCCATTCTTAACAGATTTTCTTCAGGAAGATCCATTCCCAACCTGATCCTCCTGGTCTTCATCCTTTCACCATCACTATCTATCCATCTATGTCGCTGCTGATTGTTCTCTTCTTTTTCTTTCCACCTCTCCCAACATCAGGGCTTCTCAAAGAAGATGATCTTTGCACAGGATTGATGGATTGATCTGATGCATTGATTATATGCTACCGTTGGGTCTTAGCAGCCACAAGGATAGATTTTTCTCCACGAGGATCTGTCCCCAATTTGGTCCTTCAGGTCTTCCAATGGTGCACCCCTCGCAACTGTTACTACGTTCACCCCACTTGCTGTTGGTCATCCTCTTTTTTCCACCCACTTTCCCCAACTTTAGAGTCTTCTACAGAGATGTGCTTGGTGTAGTAGGCCTCCAGGGCCACTGCAACCAAGTCCATCGATCTCTCCGATGGTCATCCTCTTCTTCTCTTTCCATCCATCTTTCCCAGCATCAGATCTTTCTCCAAAGAGACATTCAAAGGGTAGAGTTCTCCAGAACCCTTTAACAGACTAGCAGAGTTGGAAGGGACCTTGGAGGTCATCTAACCTAGTCCAATCCTCTTCTCAAGGAGGAGACCCTATCCCATTCCAGACAAGTGGCTGTCCAATCTCTTCCTAAAAACCTCCAGTGGTGGATCACCCACAACTTCTAGAAGCAAGTTGTTCCACTAGTTAATTGTTCTCACTGTCAGGAAGTTTCTCCTTAGTTCTAGGTTGCTTCTCTCCTTGATTAGTTTTCATCCGTTGCTTCTTGTCCTTGTCTTCAAACCACGATGGCCCCAAGTCCTCTTTCTGGATTCCCCAGCCTGACTCTCCTAGTCCCTGTCCACACACACACACACACACACACACACACACACACACACACACACAAATCCCCTCCAGAAATTGCTTACCTCCATCAAATCAATCAGCCACAAGAGTCTCTCCTGGCCACGTGGGTTGAGCAGAGGTGGACACAGCATGCAGTAAAGGGAAAAGGTGTAGAGAAAGAAATAGGTTAGAAGCTAAAAAAAAAAGAAGGAAAAATGAAAAGCAATCTAAGCTAAACCTGGGCAGAGCAATTTCCTCGCTTGATTCCCCCTCGTGGTCTTCATCACCCTCTGATGAAAGGGAATTGACTTTCAAAACGGGTTCTCAAGAGAGAAGACGGGCACTGAAATGTGACAGGTTTATATTGATTGCCTCGAAGCTGGCTGAGCTCTGCCTTGGAGAAAGCCATTCCTTCCCCTGAAGACCTGGATATTGCGCAGGGCTGAGAAGATCTCGGCGGACGCCTCACTTCCCGGACACACACTTGGGATGCTGCTAGAGGGCATGGCGTGCCAAAACATCTCGACTTTTCCTTTGTGCCATCGCTCTGCTGAACACCTGATTCTCACAGTCCTGTGTTATGCCTGTTTACCCATGTTGTATGGCTGTAGTATTATTATTATTATCCTTCTTATTATCTTCTTTACTACCCCCTTTATTGGTATTATTGGTATTATTGGTATTATTATTATGGATCATCGCACAGTCAGCCAGATGTTCAGACTGGATTTGGCATTTTATCTACCTATCGAGTCCTTCCCAAGGACCTGGGATAGGTAGATGTGGATGTTTGATGGTATTACAGATCTCGTCGCAGGATGGAAGCAGTTCCTAGTAAGGCCGCCTTTTGCAATTGACTAATAGCGAATTTGTCAATGCCAATGGTGTTCAAGTGGTGCTCCAGTTGTTTTGGGATTGCACCTAAGGCGCCTATTACTACTACTACTACTACTACTACTACTACTACTACTACTACTACTACTACTATTATTATTATTATTATTATTATTATTATTATTATTATTATTATTATTATTATTATTATTATTATTTTGTTTTGCATGTACACTGTGTGCTTATGTACCGGAGACAAATTCCTTGTGTGTCTAATCACACTTGGTCAAATGAAGTCTTCTCTTCTCTTCTCTTCTCTTCTCTTCCCTTCCCTTCCAATCCTTTCCCTTCTCCTTCCCTCCTTCTCCTTCTCCTTCTCCTTCTCTTCTCTTTTCTCTTCTCTTCTCTTCTCTTCTCTTCTCTTCTCTTCTCTTCTCTTCCCTTCCCTCCTCTTCCTTCCCCTTCTCCTCTCTTCTCCCCTCCTCTCCCTTCCCTTCCCTCAATGCCACCAAGCCATTCTAATGCTTGATTTCTCCTCTTCTCCTTCCCCTTCCCTTCCCTTCCCTCTTCTCTTCTCTTCCTTTTCTCTTCCCTTCCCCTCTCCCTTCCCTCCCCTCCCCTCAATGCCACCAAGCCATTCTAATGCTTGATTTCTCCTCTTTTCCTTTTCCTTCCCCTTCCCTTCCTTTTCCTCTTTTCTCTCTCCCCTCCCCTCCCCTCCCTTCTTTCATTTCTCCCCTGTCAATAACCGCCTTTGACTTAAACAGCCACAGGTTTTCAAACTGTTGGAGCTGGTTTTACACGGCTGGGTCGGTTGTCAATGAAAAAAAAAGAGTGATTGGATTTCAGTTTGCTTTAGCACATCGATCGGGCTGCCCTTTGCCTGCCTGCTTGTTTTGCAAGATGGAAACAGGCCTGGCAGAAAGACAGGACGGAGGAACGTATCAAGCAGACTCGCACAAAGGGATGCCTCTGCAAAGAAAAGTGGACAGAAAAAGGAAGATTCTTCCTTCTTCTCACTTCATCTAAGGCCTTTAGATAAGTTCCTTCAGAAAAATGGGGGGGGGGAACTGATCCAAGCTGATTAAAAGTGGAGTTAGTGGATGCAATATAGGACATTAACAGGGAGGGCCTCCTTCTAATCTGAACGGGCTTCAGAATAAGAGGAAGACTAATTTAGGAAGCTAATTGCATCGTGACAGCAGACCGGAGACAAAAGCAGAACATCTCAATAAATGTGATTTGCTTCTTCTTCCTGTCGGTGAATTTTCCGGGCCCGGAGTGGAAAAACACACACACACACAAATGGGCATTAAAAAGTCTTTTGGTTTTCCTTATTAAGAATCTTCCTAGCTGCTTCTGTTACTTGGCAGCCCAAAAAAAATCAGGAGTTGTTTTTTTTTTAATTTATGAGGTATTCAAAGGCATCAGATTTTTGCAAACGGCAGCTCCCATCGTCGGAGGCATTAAAAAAACCCCCTTCGAATAAAAATTGTTAGCTGGGAAAGATGTTTCACAGGCTACTTCCTGACATTCTTCTGCCGGAGACTAACGCAGATCTCCTCCGGTGATACGTTCCTTGGTGGCATCACACATTCATGTTTAAATGAGAGGCATTTTGTCGGCACCTTGGACCTTGGAGGAGATACATGGAATCAAAGGCTGGAAGGGACCCTGGAGGTCTTCTAGTCCAACTCCCTGCTCTGGCAGGGAACCCTATGCCATTTCAGACAAATGGTTGCCCAATCTCTTCTTAAAACTTCCAGTGTTGGAGCATTCACCGCTTCTGGAGGCAGGTTGTTCCACTGGTTCATTGTTCTCACTGTCAGGAAGTTTCTCCTTAGTTCCAGGTTGCTTCTCTCCTTGATTAGTTTCCATCCATTGCTTCTTGTCCTGCCTTCAGCTGTTCTGGAGAATAGCTTGACACCCCCCCCCCCTCTTCTTTGTGGGAGCCTCAGCCAACATTTTCTAACATTAAAAGGACCTTATCCAGCATTCCCTTCAGAGTTGAACACCATCACTTTGGGCTGTGGCTTCGCCGGAGTTCAGGCATTCAGTAACCTGCTTCGTCAAACCTACTTTCTCTCTCTCTCTCTCCCCACCCCACCAGCTTGTTAATGAGGCTTTGATGAAAGGTGTTTTTATTACCAGCAAATTGATTTCCTGGGCCTCAGGGCTGCACATTTAAAAAGGCGATTATCCTAATTTTGTTTGGCAGCGAGAGGAGATGGGGGAAGAGAAGACGCTGGCACAAGATTTCCAGGTGTCTTCTGGATTTCCTGGAGAGATTTGGTTTTTGCCCTTAGGTATCTTTTCTATGCTGCTTCTGCTCTCTGAAAATCCTTTCCTCGGGAGGAAAAATGTTTTTAAAATGTTTATAGATAACAGCTTTAAATGTTAAAGCTACTGGACAGTAAGGATATATACAGGCAGGAAACCCCACCCTTCCTCAAACTGATGATGTTCCCTAGGTGGGTAATGAAATGTCTGCAAGAAAGCAACCAACCAACCTTATTATTGTTATCTGTCTGCCTGTCTGTCTCTCTCCATCTATCTATCTATCTATCTATCTATCTATCTATCTATCTATCTATCTATCTATCTATCTATCTATCTATCTATCTATCTATCTATCTATCTATCTATCTATCTATCATCTGTTTATCTATCTACCCATCATCTATTATCTATTATCTGTCTATCTAAGTGCCTGTCTGTCTATCTATCTATATCTCTTCATCTATCTGTCTATCTATCCATCCATCCATCCATCCATCCATCCATCCATCATCTATCATCTATTATCTGTCTATCTATCTAAGTGTTTGTCTGTCTATCTATCTTCCATATTTCTGTGTCTACACCATAAATACAGGGAGTCCTTGCTGTACGACCCCAGGTGACCCCAAAATGTATGTCACTAAGCGAGACAAATGCTTAAGTGAGTTTCGCCCCATTTTATGACTTTTCTTGCCACAGCTGCTTAAGGGAATCAGCGCAGTTGGTAACTTAGTCACACCGTCATTAAGTGAAGCCAGCTTCCCCCGTTGGCTTTGCTTGTCAGAAGGCCGCCAAAGGGGAACAGGTGACCCCGGGATGCTGCGACCGTCATAAGTATGAACCGGTTGCCGAGGGTCTGAATTTTAATCACCTGACCATGGGGATTCTGCAACGGCCGTAAGTGTGAAAAACTTGTCGTAAATCACCTTTTCTTCAGTGCCTTCATAACATTGGTCACTAAATGAGCTGTTGTAAGTTGAGGACTGCCTGTATAAGGTGATAGGGACATCGCGTGCCAATATCTGAGAGCCAAGCCTGAGTCAAGCATACCTACCCGAGCTGAACTGGCTGTGGTGGACGTGAAATGGCTTTCGGTACAAGAAGCAGAATCGCTGTAGGACGTTGTAGAGTAAAAGTCGGTTCCGGTCCCCGAGGGCTGCCGGGCCTTCATGAATTCTATTTCCCTCTTAAGGACCAGGTCGTCAAAATGGTCCAGGTCTTGTGGAGATATCACCCCTCGGACCTCCGACAGGAGGGAGAACTGCAGGAACAAGACGGAAAACGGGGCGTTGAAACCGAATCTGCGACAAGGATAACATGCGTATGTACTCTATGTCTCAGGAGATTCAGGCAGTTCAGATGAGTAGGATAAAGATTTAAGCTTTCTACAAGAATCTGAGCTACTAACGGTTAAGGGAAATGAGTGGGAGTTAAGAAGCACTCAAGGCGGGCTGGAGTCAGATCGCTTGTGGGCATGCAAGGACTCATGGTGCATTTGACCCCTTCCTCAGGCTCAGCCTGGTCATCTCCTACACAGTACCAGACATGCCAAGCTCCACTGCCTCTTTGCCCTCCCTCCCTCCTGGGAATCCAGACTCCATTCCACCACACTAACCTTGGCATGGGTGTTGAGCAGTTCAAAGAGAGCCAGGATGAGGGAATCCACCGAGATGTTGTTCTCCTTATATTCATCCAAGTAGTAAGCCATGGTGGTCCTCTCGGGTTCATTCAGGAGGTGGCGTGCGTGCTCCTCCAGCATCACTCGGCTTTGGTTCACCAGGCTATTCAACGTTACTTGAGATCCCGCAAGGCCTTTATAAAAAGATGTCTAGGAGGAGAGGAACACAGAGCAGCTTTGGAGAAAATTAATTAGGATTACACAAACTGTAGCCTATTAATTAATGAACATTCTGTGCAAGCAGTCCTAATAAATACTGGCAGAGAAAGGAGGCTGGCTAATAGATGATGAAGCACACAATTATAACAGGAGGAATATGATAAATTTAAGGGATTTATAAGTGCTCGTATTTCGAGAACGGCATTCACCAAAACAATATATTGCAGGAATAACATTATTGCAGGCACTAAGCAGAAGAACCTTCTTCAGACTAAAATATCGGCTTCTTGTTTTATTGCGCGTGTGTGCGAGTGGTTTTCTTAAACACTGCACATGTCCTTGTTCATCTAGATTTTTTTTTTAAGTAGGTCTCTTGATAATTGTTGCCTTTTAATTAGAGAGGTTATGGATTCCACTTGAAATCTGCTGTAGGCAAAATATCTAAGTGCCTCGGGCTCTTCTACGGTAAGTAGCAGGTTTAGTATTCTGTGTGTAAGAGAAGAGCAGGCAGAGCTGGGAGGGCAGAGTTAAGCACGTCATCAGTTTAGACATCATCAGTTTAGAATCGTTGCATTCCTATGAGCGTGTCCAACCCTTCCTGATGTCCGTTGACTCTTATCTGGCACCCAATTAGTGTTGGATTTCAGTTGTCCATATTCTTGTTTATTTGTTGTTGTTGTTGTTAGTTACGAAGTCATGTCCTGAATAAATCTTCAATGCTGCAACCTTACGAACGGTCCTGATTCTTTGCGCCTGGCACGGTGTTATACAAACGTCAAGTTTCTAGCAGTGATGATTGTGCTTTAAGGTGTCTGCGTGTGTCCACGCACGCACAAATACAATTTTCCATCTCACAAGGTTGCCCAAATCGTCTGACCCTCTGCAGAAAAGCAAGAAGGCTAGCAAACGGAAAGGATTCCATGCAATGTCGGTCAAACGTTGACCGTAAGACTGTAAGATTAAATCGAAAGTCCATATCGGGCGTCAGCCAATAGAAAGAGGGAGCGGAAATGCAGGGGTTTTCCAGATGTTGCTGAATGGCCAATGCCATTCTCCTCCCAGGCCAAGCTATCTAGGGCAGTGGTTCTCAACCTGTGGGTCGGGACCCCATTTGGGGTCGATCGACCATTTCACGGGGGTCGCCAAGCAAGGCTGTCTGCCATTTTTTTTGTCCACCATTTTTTTTGTCCGCCATTTTTTCCCCCTTTTCCGGCGGGTGCCTTACCTCCCTTGGGCTGGGCCAGCTGGTGGTCGGCCTGCTCCGTCTCTGCCGCTTGCCAGCTATGCCTCGGCCAGCGCAGGGGGCGGAACCACGCATGTGCGGCGCTCCCGGGCAGGGAAAGTCCTCGACTTACGACCGGTTGGGTAGTCCTCGACTTACGACCGGTTTAGTCCTCGACTTACGACCGGTTTAGTCCTCGACTTACGACCGGTTGGGGTCGCGGCATTAAAAAGGTTGAGAGCCACTGATCTAGGGCTTTGGGGAATGTGCTTAAGAAACATCTGGAGGTAAAATATGTATTCAGGGTAACGCCAGCTTATTATTTTTCCTGCCATGCAATTTCAGCTGCATTCCAAACGCTCAACCATCTCATTACCTGCTAAGGCTTTATGAATGCTGATGGGAACACATCCGGCTTAACCTTGAAACCTTGGCATTCTTCCTTTCTAGCAATTTCTCAAGCATGGAGAAACCTGGATTTTTTTAAACAAGGATGGGGTGGTGGATAACCCTGAACGGCACTGGAACAGAAGGAGCGGTAGCCTGCCGAGAGAAGCCCATTATGCTGGAAGCATTGATTGGAAGGTGGCCCTTATTTTTAAAAAAATCAGGCTCTGATTGCTCTGCGGAGGTGGCAGTTTTTTTGTCCCTGTGCAGCTTCTCAGCCTGCAGAGTAATCGGGGGACTGAAGCGATAATGCTCCCGTCTCCCGCGGGCTTTGGGAGGAACTTTGGCTTCTAGGAGGCCTCTAGAAGGTTCCGATGGGCGTTGGTTGGCCATGAGAACATAGGAATAGGTTGCTGGGTCTGTCAATGGTCACCCTCACCTAACATTTGGTTTCCAAAGGGACCACGTGAGTGACCTGGGATGCTTGTAAGTAGAACTAGACTCCTCCTCCTCCTCCATTCTTCATTTTCCTCCTCTTCCTCTTCCTTCTTCATCTCTATTCTTCCTCCTTCCTCCTCCTCCTCCATTCTTCATTTTCCTCCTCCTCCTCTTCCTCTCCACCTCCTTCTCCTCTATTCTTCCATTCTCGTCCTTCTCTTCTTCTTCCTTCTCCATCTCTATTCTTCCTCCTTCCTCCTCTTCTTCTTCCTCCTCCTTCTCCTCCTCCTTCTTCTTCCTCCTTTTTTCCTCCTCCTCCTCCTCCTCCTCCATTCTTCATTTTCCTCCTCTTCCTCTTCCTTCTTCATCTCTATTCTTCCTCCTTCCTCCTCCTCCTCCTCCTCCATTCTTCATTTTCCTCCTCCTCTTCACCTCCTTCTCCTCTATTCTTCCATTCTCCTCCTTCTCTTCCTCCTCCTCCTCCTCTTCTTCGTCTTCCTCCTCCTCCTTCTCCTCCTCCTTCTTCCTCCTCTTTTTTCCTCCTCCTCCTCCTCCTCCTCCCTCTGCAACTAGCATTAAAAGGGATAAAGATAACAGGGAATCTTCAAGGTTAACTATTCATAGACCTGTTCCCCATGGATTTCTCCCAGGTCCTTTGAAATTCTGCGGGAAGGAAGCAGTAAAATGCTGCTCTATGGGACCACAATAAAAAAAAAGCCACTTCATGCCCCCAGGAAATCAACCTCTCCTTTTTCTCAGTTGTGACCCTGCTGAGCTGCGTAGCTTAGCTCTTCCCATCTGGTGCCACAGTCCTACTCACTGCAGGGCCCAAAGCTTCAACGTGGAGAGCAGGCTGATCTTTGGGATCAATTGTCCTTTGAAGAGTCTCGTTGCACCTACCACCGAGGGCAAAAGCATAAATTGGTTCTGAATGAGGACATGAATTTCTGCTGTTTGCCTCTTGAGGCCTTGTTCCCGAAATTGCTTGC